AAGGCTACCATAACCCTTAAATCTCAACGTATTCACCTTAAATTTCTTCTCATCGTCATAAGTGTTATATTTAAATGCCATCTCCATAGATCTCAACCAATCGAGAAAGTCATCTGGATTCAGATTACCTTCAAAATTAGAGAAATCCACTTTGAAATATTCTTCATGATGAGGTTGTTGTTGTTGTGGACGATTATCTCTTCTCCTTCTGCCACGTTCCATAACAATACTAGGATCAAAATCAGATCCATGAGAAGAACATCCACTTTCATCAGAAGACGTTTCAACTTCTGCGATTCCTCGTCTCCTTGGCTGATCTTGAATATTCACACCATTAAAAGCCTCAACCAACTGCTGCATCTGTTGCCTTAGATCCGCCATCTCTCTAGTAGTACGCTCACCATGCGCTTGCTCAAGAGTTAATCCTCTGGGAAGATGCATGATAAACTAAATAAAACAGAGGATAAACGAATAAATCTTCACTCCAGCAACCTGGAATTCTCTAATACCATTTTGATGCGTGTAGGAGGATGCGAATGGAGTGAATGAAATAGAGATCATAACAAGACAATTTGACACCAAGTTAATGTGTGTTTTAGGCTGCGAAGGTTCCAGAAAACAATCCGAATATAACTAAAGTAACCGGATAACAAGAAAAGATACGGGATCACCAGAACTCGTAAAGCTGAAGCACCGGAGCTGATAAAGAAACCCGCTGAGCTAGCACCATTGCTAGATAAAGTTGCCACCACCAGAAGATAAAGATGCTCAAAACCACCACCAATGACTCTCCCAAAATTAAAGGATAAAGGAAAAAGATCTAAATAGATCAAAAGGGGTCACAAAGACAATCCAAATTCTCAAACTCGTTTTCTCCTTTTTTATTCATCAATAAGAATCTCATTATTAGAGGGAATATAATAAAAACGTTCAAAATTAAAGCTCTCCATGCACACTACCAAGAAAACATAATTCAGACTTTTATTATGCATGTAAGAGAGAGAAGCAGCTTGATTTTAATGTAGTCTTGACCATATACGAAATGGGCTCTTCTTGTGCTTATTTGGGCCTGAAATTACTTCAATAATCTTGTCTTCATCAAATTCAACCCAAAAGAATGCTAACCACATTTTAGTTGATAGGCTGGGCCAAAATCAACAAAATGACAGTCAACCCGTTCTTCTTCTCAACTCATTGTGTTGCTTCCTTGTCTTGCACGTCTACTCCCGCATCATAGATCAACCACATTCTTGGAGAAAACCAACCGAGATAGTTGAGAAAAAATCTCTATAAAGATTGCTTAAGTGCCTCTTGGTTTGCCCAGATAAAAATACGACAATGATGTCGTCGGAGCTGAGCTACCATGAAAACCGAATTATGAAGAAGAAAACTCTTCAAAACTTCGACTTGAACAAAAAAGAATCTACGAAAAAAGCTTTAAGGAGAAAGAAAAGCTTCTCCCGGCGCCGACTAAGAGCATTAGTAATCAGAGAGGCAGCGACGGTGCATAATATTTGTCCGCCGCGGCAATAATATTAGAGCAAACTCTCTCTAGAGAGAAAAGAGAGAAACATTTAACAACTTAAATTACACAAAGCTGATAACGATTGAGATCTTCTCGGAGAGAAAGCCAATATGAATTGACTTAACGAGCTTAGAGCATCTCCAACTCAATAGTCCATTTTTTACTCCAACCCTACTCCATTTTGGAGTAGAGAATGGAGTGAAGAGTAAAAAATGGAGTAAAAAATAGGATTATGTTGTGAA